CCCAATTTTGCGTTCCGAGTGAATACAGAGCAAGTGGCACTATCCAGCATCGTAGGATGCTCTCAAACAAGTAGGAGGGCCGGGGCATATAGGCGTGGGGGGGTTGAAAAGACGAGGGGAGCAGCCCGCAATACAGTGATTAACGAAACGTGAATACGGCACAAGCAAGTTCAGTAGGCGGGGCTGGACGTGCCTCCGGGAGCGAAGAACCACAGACGCATACGCCAATTACACACACAACAACACAACAACACACACACACACACACACACACACACACACACACACACACACACACACACACACACACACGCCGCTCACTTGAACTGGTGTCGTGATCGTCGCGGGATTGGTCTGGATCGTGGTGTTGTTGCCGGCGACTTCGACGAAAGCCCTACGACGTATGTATGTACGTACGTGCGCAGATGGATGGAGTGGATTGGTGAAGACGGCGCAGGAAGACAGACAACCCAAGTGGAGTAAAAGTGTCGTTGATGCGAGACACAAACAAGCAAGGCAAACCAAACCATTTTCATGCATGTGTGTGTGTGTGTGACGATGCTGGCAACCAACACTCCCGTCTCGCCAAATTTGCGGCATGGGCTGACCAACGAACGCACCTTGCGGGCGCGCTCAAAGGACGAGCGAAATCGGTGCATCGTCGTGGGCCGCGACCTGACCACCAACACTCAACGCACCACAACGCACCACAACGCAGCTGCGAAGGGCGAGATTTGAGGCAGAACAGACAATCTACTGAAAATACCAGCATATTTTCTGCACTGCCGGCAAAATGCCCTGTTCGCTGCCGGTGCGTCGATGTGTCCCGTTTGGTCGCAGTGGCGGTGGGACACGGCCATCAACGCACCGCTGCTGCTGCTGTTCCACTGTGTGATGACAACCTAGCGAGCCATATGCGTGCCGCGTGTGCGATGCATCGCCAACGATGGGTGCGAAGATGAACGCGTCCTCTTGTGCTTACCGATGCACACCAAAGCAAAAGCAAAGCAAAAGCAAGCAACAAGCGTTCCTCTTTTTTGCCCTTGTTCCCCTCACTTTTTCTTTTGCGTTCTCTTCCTCTTCTGCCACACCTCACGACGACCTCACGACCATACAAACACACCCTCGAGTGGCTGTGTCTTCTGTGTGTCTCGCTGTCTGAGTCTTGTGGTACCCCCCTTGCCTCCCCCTTGCCTCTCCCTTGCCTCCACCTTGCCTCCGTGTCTCTTGTCTTCCCTCCCCTCTCATCCTTTCTTCTCTCTCCCTCTCACAAGAACGCACGCCATGCCCGCTTTCGGCACTCGCATGGAGATTGCTTCCTCCGCCAACCTCTCCCCAGTTCAGGTGCGTCGTCGCACACACGCTATCGTTGAGTAGGGTGGGCGGTGGTGTGCTGGTCGTCACGACTGGAGAATGAGTGGTGCTGTTTCCAGCGGCGGTGGCGGTGGCTGGTGGTTGTGTGGTGTTTGAAATGATTTGAACCAAGCCATGCTTGTTGGAAAAGAGAGACAAAGATGGATAGCGGGGAAATTGGCTGTCGTGTTGGCTGTCGTGTTGTCTGTGTGTTGTCGCGGGGCGCTCGTGCGTGCACGTTGCCATTCGAGCCCTGTTATCGTCCGTTTGTTTGTGTTTGTGTTTGTGGTTGTGCTCATGCTCGTGCTGGTGTGTTTGCCTGCTTGACTTGGCGTTTGTGCGCACGAGCGCATGGGGAGGGGAGTTCAAGAGGAAGAGGAGGCGGCCATGTGCCTTCCGCCTTGCCTTTGATTCCTCTTGCCTCGCCCTTTGAAAAGCGTTGTCAAAACACACACACACACACACGCACACACACACACACACACACTTGACTGACTCAAGCCCTCTTTGCCTCATCCACCCTGACGCATACAGGCTGACCTGTACTGGCGTCGGCGCTACCGTGTGGACGCTCTGCGCAGCAAGTCATGGACTGAGGTGAGCACGAGCTGCTGCTGGTGCCTGGATTTGGGCGTTGTTGGTGTTGGGAGGGTTGTTGTTGGAAGTGGGTGTTGTGGTTTCCTTCCTTCCTCCATGCTTTCCATCCCCTCCTCCCACCCCCTTTTCCTCTTCATCCACGCTGCTCGTTCTCTCTCTCACGCGCCTGCCCACACGGTACCCCCGCACCGCTTGCTCCCTCAGAGCAACTTTGTGCAAGCGAAGCGCAACTCCATGCGCAGCCCCCGCACCTCCACCGCGGCCTCGGAGCCCACGTCCCCGCGGCCGGGCAAGACAAGCAGCAACGCCTCCCCAAACACCCTGCTGCCGCCACTCACTGAGATGCCCTTTGCAAACCACCAGCAGCAGAAGCAGCAGGCGTCGCCGTCAACAAAGAAGTCGTCCCGTATCCGCCGTCGTCGCACGGAGCCCGGGTCGCTCGCCGACGAGCACCTGCGCCACCGCACGCTGCGCAACAGCCGCACGTTTGAGGCCATGCCGAGCTGGGACCGCGACCTCTTTGCACCTCTTCCACCGGTCCCGGAGTCGCGCAAGCCGCTCACGGACCTGCCGGACTGCCGCCCGCGCCGCCGCAGCAAAGTCGGCGACGTTGAGACAAAGGTCGACCCCGTCAAGCGCCGCCAGGACTCGGACCCAAAGGTGCCGCGCGATGTGTCTGCGATGTGTGTCTGTGTCTGTGTGTGTCTGTGTCTGTCTGTGTCTATGTGTCTATGTGTGTGTCTATGTGTCTGTGTGTGTCTGCGTCCCCCTCTCTCTCTCTCTCTCTCTCTCTCTCTCTCTCTCTCTCTCTTAGAGATCCAACCATAAGCGAGGGCGGTTCTACGACGGATTTGAAAGCCTTGATTCTAAGTAATTCAGTACGTCCGGTGTGTGTAGAAATCTAGGCCAAAATCATCTGAGAGGTGTCCGAGGATAGACTCGTTTAAAACCTCATCAAAGTTGCGGTGGGTCTGTGTGGAACATTGACAATCCTGTTATCGACAGATGCCAACCTCGTCGTTTCTCTGCGTCCACTGCGCTGAAGTTTTCGCTCCCTAGTCGACCTCCGTAGTAAGTCAGCATGGAGTTATTAATAACATTTCAATCCTTGTGGTGCCTTTGTTTCTCGCCGGGGTTCGTCTCTCTCTCTCTCTCTCTCTCTCTCTCTCTCTCTCTCTCTCTCTCTCTCTCTCTCTCTCTCTCTCTCTCTCTCTCTGTGTGTGTGTGTGTGTGTGTTCTTTGTGGCTTCTCCTTTCCCTCCCACCTCACCCAAAACTCACGCACTCAAACCCCCACCCCTCTCAATCACACACAGCCTTCCCGCCTGCCAAAGCTGCCGCCCGGCACACGCAACCCGTGGAACGCCAAGAACGCGCCCCTGAAGCTCTCCCTCGCCTGAGCCGCTTACACACGCTCTTGTTTCCTTTCTTCTTCTTCTTCTTCTTCTTCTTCTTCGCTCTTTTGATTGACGTTGCTTCTTCCGTACTTCTTCTCTAACCGCCTTGTCTATCCTCTTCTCCACTTGTGCCCCGGCGATAACAATTTCACACCCTCTGCTGTTTCGTGTTCTTCTCTCTCCCTCTTTTCTTGTTTCGATTTCATTTCTCTTGCTCTGCGCAGCTACAATGGCTGATGTCTCGGACCTGTTGTCCCACCGACTTTACTTGCTTTGGCTGTGATGGCTTGTTCCTTTTCTCAGTTCAACCGGCCTGTGCTTCCTTCTCCCTCCCCTCAACAGCCACATTCCCTCGCCCTCTTTCCTCCTGCTCCTCCTGCTCCTCACTTCTGCCCACCGCAACCACAACCACAACCACAACCACAACCACAACTTTCTCTCCCCCCCTCTCTCTCTCTTTCTCATTCTTCTTCTCCTCATCCTTGCTTCTGGCTACCACCACAACCACAACCACAACCACAAAGCCCCCCCCCCCTTTTCTCCTTGCCACTATTTCCTTCTTGTTCCTCGTTCGCTGCATGGCCACATGTTACCTTGCGGTATCGCCTGGCGTGCGTGCGTCCAGGGCTGGTCAACGTTTCCCCAGATGTCGCGCACGCCCTCTCGGGCCATGATGCTCGCTGATGTTGTTGGCAATAGCTTTCTTGTTTCAATGTGCATGCGTGTTCCGTGGTGTGTGTTTTCTGTCCGTGCCACGAGTCTGTTTGTTCTAGTTTCTCGGCTTGCACCGTGTTCACCTCGCTGTGTTTGCAGCCAGTTGATGCTGTTGCACGCTTCCCTTCCTCTCCACAACACACGCGAGCACATCAACCTACACACCACCGCCGCCATCACGCCAGCAACCAACACCCAAGCACGTGTTTCATTTTCGGTTTCCCATCGCCCTGTGTTCAGTGTTGTTCACACGCGTGCTTGTGCGATGTAAGCGGGGATTGCAAGCGACCCCTTCGTGCATCGTGTTGTTGTTGTTGTTGTTGTTGTTGTTGTTGTTGTTGTTGTTGTTGTTGTTGTTGTTGGCAATGGTCTGCCTGCTGTGGCGGTGTCGCCGTTGGGTGACACGTGCCGTGTGCAGTGTGCTGCGTTGGTTTGGGGCTTCCACCTTGCTTGGTGGGTGGGGCGCTGCTCTTTGGCATGACTGATGCGTTGTGTAATCGTGACTGACACATAAACGTGATAGATGAAGCATGTCATGCCACCGAAAATACGGAGGCAAGGGCTAATGCGTTGTGTGTACACGAGCACATACATCCACCGCGTCGATTATGCGCCAACAAACAGCAAGCGACAAACAAACAAACACTGCACCTACACGCCACAGCCATCCTCCGCATCACGACTGCTGCTCACAACGAATCGTGACACGTCCCGTGGCCAACACGCAAGCACATGCTACTTACTCCTCGGCCTCGGCCGGCTGCAGTGCGAACGTGCGAATTGCGTCTGCAATCACATCCCGCGCTGACAAAGACGATGACGATAGCGATGGTGATGTGGTTGATGCGGTTGATGTAGATGCGTGCGCGCCACTGTGCTTGACGGCTGTGTCGACAGCTTTGGTCATGGCCTCGATCGTCCACACGCTTGGCGGCGGCGCATCGGCAGGGGCGAGCGCACTCAGCACCTGCAACGGGTCGTATATGGGTGGTGGTGGTGGTGGTGGTGGGTGGGTGAGGAAGACGAGCAAGCATGGGGAGAGGTGATGAAGCGCGCAAACACACAGACACACACAGACACAAAGACACACACAGACACACAGACACACAGACACACGCACACACGCACACATTTGCACGCGATGGGCGGCACTACGCACCGCGAGGGCGAGGCCCTTCATCTCGTCTGTCTTTGACGGCAGTGCAACGTCGTCGCTTGCGGCAGCTGTGAGCGCATCGTCACACGACAGCAGCGCGCTCGAATCACTCAACTTGCGAATGTCGCTCTCCTCGGCGGCAATTTGCTCCTCCAGCCGCGCCTTCTTTGCCACGAGATCCTGCAGCTCTTGCACATTTCCCCGCGTCGTCGCCTGTACGTGTGCGTGCGTGCGTGTGTGTGCGTGCGTGTGTATGTGTGAACGATAGATGTGCATGAGGTGAGTCGTTTACGCTTGCATCCTTGCCGTCACTTCCCATAATGACTCCATCACCTCTGCACCTGGAGAGCGGCGATGCGAAGAAGCGCCGAGTAGTTTTCTTCAAACGAAAAGTGCTCGAGGGACTGGTGATGGCGCGTGGCATTGGAGGGGCGAGCGGGCACATGGTGTGGTGAAGAAATGAGAACACGAACGTCAACACTTGAGGCAACAGATGCACGGCCTTGTGTACACACACACACACACACGCACACATACATATATACATACACACACACAAACACACACACACACACGCACACATACATACACACACACACACACTCGGACCTACATCTCTGAAGTCGGCGACCATCTGCCTGGTCTGCAGCTGGACGAGCTTCGATCCGAGCGTGTCCTGCCCGCCAATGAGCGCAGCCTGCAGTGGGCCGTGCTCAACCTCTGTCCCCGTGTGTGTGTGTGTGTGTGTGTGTGTGTGTGTGTGTGTGTGTGTGTGTGTGTGTGTGTGTGTGTGTGTGTGTGTGTGTGTGTGTGTGTGTGTGGCTGTGCTTGCAAATCAAACATTATTGCTCGGTTGATCACTCACCTGGAACTTGGTCCAGGTCTGTGGGCTTCGGCAGTTGCTGTAGACACGAGACAAGCGGTCAACGTGAACTGAAGAAAGGAGGCATCAAGTTCGCAGTTCTTTAACAACACACACACACACACAGGCACAGACGCGCGCGCGCACAGGCACAGACGCGCGCGCGCGCAACACAATGCTCACTTTAGTTTTTGGCCGCCCTCGCTTTCCTCCTTTGCGTCTGCCCCTTGCCCCTGACGATGACGATGACGATGGTGCTTTTGATGTGCTCGCACTTGATGTGCTTGCCCCAGCTGTGGATGCGCCGCTCTCCTGGCGCTTGCTGCTTGACGGCCCGCGCTTCGCCCGTCTTCTGGCACGCTGCCGACCACCGCCAGCGTCATCATCACCACCATCGCCATCATCGTCGTCGTCGTCGTCGTCATTATCGTCCTCGCGGTCTCTTGCCTTTCGTCGCGCACGCTTTTGTTTCGCAGCGCCGCTCTGTTTCCGCTTTCTTGCCCGCCCAGAGCCCCGCAACCTGTCTGACTCGTTCCCATCACCATCACCATCACCATCACCATCACCACCATCACCATCACCATCACCATCACCATCACCGGTTGTGTTGTTGTCACCGGTATCGTTGCCATCGCCCTTCTCACCTCGCGTGTCCATCTTGCTGTCCTCCTGATCCTCGTCCCCGTTCTCATCTCCAGCAACCGCTGTCGATGACACGCGTCGCCTCCCGGATCGAGTTCTCCCACAACTTGCGCCATCAACACCAGCCCCACCGCCACCACCTGTACCCGATTCGCTGCCACGAGCACTGCTGCTTGCGCTGCTACTGTTGCTGCTACTGCTCCTGCGGCTGGTTCGCTGGCTGGGCGACGCCTTCCCGCTGCGCGTATGCTTGAGAGCACGTGCATGCTGCTGCTTTCCCTTGGCCTTCTTCTTGAGGAGAGCCTCCATCTTGGGCTTGTGCTGTGGACACGTCACCGCCATTGCCTGTGGGGGAAGCCCCGCCGGCACGTCGTACTCAAGCACTGTCAGCCCTTCGTGGTGTGCGCTGCATGCAGTTGCATCGTGATTGTGCATGAGTTGAACAGAGAAAGCATTCAGGACAGGCGCGTGTGTGCGTGTGTGAGTGAGTGTGTGTGTGTGCATGTGTGTGTGTGTGTTCGCATCAGCAGCACCACCACGAACACTGCCATCGTCACCATCAACAACACCACCACCGCCATCAACACCAACCATGAAGCGTGCAAGCTGCGGCTGCAGTGCGGGATGGTACAGGACACGCTGAGGCCGACGTGTGCGACGTCGTGCTGGCCGCGCGAGTTGCAGATGCAGCAGGCCTGCCGCAAGGGAAAGGGTATCGGGTGAGCTGCGGCTGTGCCTCAAACATAAACATTACAGGAATGAAGTGGTGCCACTTTATCAACAACCCGCGATTGTTGACGCCGAGACAGCGGCATCTCTTCACCACCAAAACGGGCAGCAATGCATACGGGGTACAACGCGGCCCACCAAACGCACCGCGCGGCCGAGGTCCGAGCGCTTGATCTTGGAGTCGTCGACGACGTATCGCTTGCGCTCATCCTGGAAGTTCATGCCGTTGCAGAACATGGCACAGGCAACGTGCACCCACGCTGCGAGGAAACGGGCAGTCGAGGAAAAAAAAAAGCACGTCAGTGCAGAGAAGCGCACATCGTGCATACGGGCAACCAACGCAACCCCTGCAAACCATCACAGCATGCATGCATGGACTGCAAGCGCTTCAAGCAGGCAAGCGAGCGCGCATGCACTGCAAGCAGGCAAGTACAAGTGCAAACACACGAACCTTTGCTGGTTGTTTCTGTGAGGGCACCATCCTTGCGGGGACAAGCAAAGCATTTCTAAGAGCGAGCGGTGGAAAGCACGGCAAAAGGGATTGGTGAGGGGACGGGGAGAGTGGTGACAGGCTTGTCCCCATACCACGAAACAAATATTCGATCGTGCAGGTTGTGCGCTGTTGCGCGTGCGCATACACAAGCCAAAAAGCAGTGATAGAGCGCACCTTCTTTGAAGCGCGGCAGAGGGAATGGGGTTCGCAGCGACGGCAGTACCACGCATGGCGCGGAACCGCAGGCACGCCATAACACGCTGAAGGTGAATCGCGTTGTTGTGGAGCGCGTCAATAGGGACGATGGATGTCAATGACAGCGAATACACAGCATTGAGCTCACACACACTCACACGAGCATGCCAAAGTGGCAGCAGCATTGAAAAACACGCGAGCACAGCCAACCCTCACAAAGTCCACTGGCTGACTGTCACACAATCGCGCCCACACACACACACACACTCACACACACACACAAACTCACACACACTCACACACACACACATACACACACACACACACACTCACTCACTCACGCACACTCACGCACACTCACGCACACTCACGCACACACACACATGAGTTGCACCTTGATGGACGACGATGGCGCATCGGTCCCCTTTGCACTTGATCATGTCATTGTCCTCTGTGATCTCCCTGCGCTTGCAGATCACGCACGGCAGGTCTGCCTCATGGAACGGCGCAGCAGTGGGAGAAGACATCATATCCGGCCGATGGCTGGTGTGCAATTTGTGGTGTTCAGCGCAGTTTGTGCTCGCTGGCGATCGGTTTGCGGTTGTTGTTTGCGGTTGTTGAGGTGGTGGAGCTGTTGTGTGTGTTGGCAGTGCTGAGACTTGGACTTGGACTGTGGCAGTGCAACATGGTGAGGATGGGGAGGGTGCGGAGGAGCAGAGCTGCCGCTGTAAGCATGATGCTGATGGTGGCAGCGGCGATGATGGTGGTAATGATGGCAGCGGTGGCACCGCAGCTGGTGTGCGGTGCAAGTGCCGTTGACGACGACCCACTGGCCAACGACGTGACGCAGCTGCAGGGGCGTATCCCGCCGTCGTCTCCAGTGGTGTCCGCGACCACGGCGTCGCCAGAGACACAGGACACAGAGGAGCAGCTGCACGAGGAGGTGCACCCACGAGCCGATGATGCGCAAGAAGACCCGGAGGCGCAGCAGGAAAGAAACATACAAGAAGAAGGAGACGAACTCAAGGAAACGAAGGAGATGCAACATCAGCAGGGGACACCAGACTCGTCTTCAAAGATCAGTGCCTCCAATGACGGCGATGGCGCTGAGCAGGAGGCAACGCAGTCTGAGCAGGAAGCAATCACCCCAACAGTGACAGAGAAGATGCCAGAGACGACCTCTGATGACAAACAGCAGCCAGAAGAACAACAGCGTGCAGCACTGGGCTGGTGGATGTGGTGGATGGACATGTTGGATACATACAGCATGTCGTTCATGCGCGTCTTCCTGGAGCAGTGGGTTATCGGGCGTGTTCAGGAATGTCTCACCGGCACGGAGGTGCGTGCACGTGTATTGTTTGTGTGGGTGTGTGTGGGTGTGGGTGGGTGTGCTCGCGCACATAGCGTATGTTAGTCTCTGTGTGTGTGCGTTGTTTACTCTGATGCTGGCCACAATACAGCTGTCATGGAGTTGTTTGTGCAACGCATGTGCTCGGTGTACATTGCGCGTGCTCGTTGTGCGCGCTTCATGTTGACATGCGTGCCATTATGGTCTCATGTGTGTGTGTGTATTGCGGTGTCCCACAACAGGGCGCGTGTGGGGTGAAGCTGCCACTACCGCTGGTTGTTGGCGGGTTTCTCGTCGCAGCCACAGCCGCCGTCCTTGCCGCCGGCCTCATGACAGAGCAAAACGCCTCCAACAAGGAGAGCGTCAACTGGCTTAACATGTGGTGGACAGAGCACGCGCCGCGCTTCGGTCGCGAGCGATTGCAGCGCGTCCTCGTTCGCGCCCTCAACGACGAGTTTCAACCGGCACAACAGCCGCTCGGCACATCCGTGGTGCGCCCGCATGCCTCGTGCACGTGTGCATGCATGCATGTGTGCGTGTGTGTGTGTTGTGTGTGTGTGTGTTGCGTGTGTGTGTGTGTGCGTGTTGCTGTATTTGCGGTGTTGAAGCCTTCGTTCGTGGTAGTTGTGTCGTGATTCTTGCGGTGTCTAAACTATTCACACACACACACTCACACTCTCTCACGCACACACACTCACACACACACACACACTCACACTCTTTCACGCACGCACACACACACACACACACACACACACACTCTCTCTCTCTCTCCCTCTTTCACGCACACCGCCCCACCTACAGCGGCCGTTGAAGGTGTTGTCGGTGAGCCTTGAGTCGTGCCCGCTGCCGACGCTGTCCAAGATGCGGTGCTTTGGTGTCGACACGAGCACGGGATCGCGCCAGCTGTTTCTCGCCTGCGATATCCACATCCGTGGCAGCAAGGGCAGTGGCGCCATGACGATGGAGGTTGCAGTTCCCCCGAGCCACCGCATCACAACCACTGTCGTCTCCCTCAGGGCAAAGGTGTGTAGCTGCATGTGGCTTTCCGTGTGAGGGGGAGAGGGGGAGGAGGTGAGTGAAGAGAGTGTGTGTGAAAGAGAGAGAGAGAGAGAGAGAGAGAGAGAGAGAGAGAGAGAGAGAGTGTGTGTGTGTGTGTGTGTGTGTGTGTGTGTGTGTGTGTGTGTGTGTGTGTGTGTGTGCAGGAGAGACATACAGACAGGCAACGACAAGCATACACACACATACACACACGCATGCACACGGACAGACAAAATACAGTGCTACCATGCCGTGCATGCCATGTCTCCTCACACTTGCCTTCTCTGTGCCATGCTGCCGCCCATCACAACAGGCGTTTTTCACAATGACGCCTGGCGACGACGCTGTTGCTTCGCTCAGTCTGCGCAACGTGCGGGATGTCAAGCTCGCATCCACCAGCCACACGGGCCAGGTGTGTGTGTGTATGTGTGTGTGTGTGTGTGTGTGTGTGTGTGTGTGTGTGTGTGTGTGTGTGTGCGTGTGTGGTTCCGGTTGTTTGGTTTTGCTTAACGTCGTGACTGACTCATGTCGTCATTCACTCGTCCTCGTGTCACCATGTCATCATGTTTGTATGTTGTCGTGTTCAACACCAACACAACACTTCAGATTTCGACGTCGCTGATTCATCCGCGCATCATCAAAGCCCTCAAGTCCTTCATCACGGCCCCAAAGTCCCTGCAGGTGTGTGGATGATGATGATGATGATGATGATGATGATGATGATGATGATGATGATGATGATGATGATGATGATGATGATGATGATGTATTGCCCGTGTCCGCTCTCTCATTCGCTCACCTACACATACCAGCCCGCTTTCCAGTACCGCCACCCAAGCACTCTCGCTTTCGTACGCGCTTACACACACACACACACACACACACACACACACACTCCATCAAAGTGGCACTTGAGCGACCCACCCCCAACGGAGACAGCGAACATTCTCCGCCATGTTCCTGGAATTCGATCGTCACAGGCGCCCAGCCGCGTTGCATCGCACACCACCACAACCAGTGACGCCCTGTCAAAGTTTAGAGGTGCGTGCGTGCCCGTGTGTGTGTGTGTGTGTGTGTGTGTGTGTGTGTGTGTGTGTGTGTGTGTGTGTGTGTATGTGTGTGCATGTGCGCATGTGTTGAAATATGTATGTTCACACTGCGTATTTTGTGTCTGCCCTTTGATTTGACGCTACTCTGTGTCTGCATCACTGGCACGCGGCGCTTCCTATCTCTCCGCGCTGCAGATGGCGAGGACGTGAACATCAAGCTGTCGTTCATATCCGCCCAGGATCTCATCACCGCCAGAGCAGACACCAGCGTCTCCTGCACAGTCACCGTCGACAGGTGTGTGTGTGTATGTGTGTATGTGTGCATGTGATTGCGTGTATAATTATGTGTGTGTGTTTGTGTGAGTTTGTGTGCTTTCATGTGTGCGTGTGTGTTTGTTGCGTTGATTGTGAGTGCTCACCACTCCGCGCCATGGCCACGACCACATCTGCAACTGGCATCTGGCATCTGTGCAGCCCTTCGCAGCGGTTCCGCACGCGCATTGTCGGCGTCCACGACAGCAGCTGCCACTTCTCAGACGAGACTGTCATGTGAGTGTGTGCGTGTGAGTATAGGTGTGCGAGAGAGTATAGGTGTGCGTGCAAGTATGTGCGTGTGTGCGCGCGCGCGTGTGCGCGAGTATGTGTGCGTGTGTGTGAGTATGTATGTGTGTGCATTGGATGAAAGTGGCGTATGAGGGGTAAGGCGAGATTGCGAATGAAAAGAAGTGCGACTGTCGCTTCTTCTTCTTCAGTCATGCGAACCAGTTTCCTGTCCTCGACACATCGGCAGTTGCATCAACACTTGCATCGCCAGCACACTCTCACACACTCTCACTCACTCACCCTAACACTCACACACTCTCTCACCCTAACACTCACACACTCTCTCACCCTAACACTCACACTCACACCCTGTGCCTGTTGTCTGTGTGGGTGTGTGTAGTACATTGCACATGGAGTCGAGTGTTGTGTTTGAGGTGTTTGAAGAGTCACCCGCCACCGTGTGCATCGGCACAGCAAACATGAGCGCAAAGCACCTGCTCACAGACCCCAACAAGCTCTTCCCAATCTCGCTGCGGGGTCGCCTCACAAATATGGGTACGTGCATGCATGCGTTGATGTGTTCATGGGGACTGCTTGAGATGGTGCGCTGGCGTTGCGCCCTGTCTTTGCACCTGTTGCACATGTGCACTGCAGTGATTCGTGACACTTTTATGCCGTTCCTCACCACCACCACCACCACCACCACCACCATCATCATCATCATCATCATCATCATCATCATATTGCCCCCTTCTTCTTCTTCTCGTGCCCACCTCAACACCACTTTATGCACTTCTGCACCCCCCCCCCACACCACACCACTCCATTTCCTTCAATCCCCCCCCCCCTCTCCTGTCTTCCGCGTACAGAAATCCCCAAGGGTGTGCTCACTATTCGCTGGCGGCCCGCCAAACCAGGAGGTAAATGCACATGGCACGCTAGCGCCTGTCCACACAATCCCCTGCCATCACACGCCTACTTCCATCCTTAATTCACAGTGCCCCGCCGTGTCCCACTGTCCTTCGTTCCTTTCATTCCATCCAATCACCCAACCACCCATGCAACCATGCAACCATGCAACCACGCGTCGATGTGCTGCCTCAGATCCCGCTCCTGCGCCGTCGTCGCCAATGTTGTCGCGATCCAATCGCATGTGGCCCTCCAGTGCAGACGCAACCCCGCGCCGCCTCAGCGTCAAAACAGACGCGCCTCCAGTCCACTCGCAGTACAGCACAAACGCGCACGCGCACACCCACACGCACATGCCTCCACCGCACATTACCAGCGGCACCGACCTGGTACTGCGGCAGCTGCAGCACGCGGGCACGTCAGCGTCACGTTTGTCCAATCACGGACAGCACCAACAACACCAACAACGACAGCAACAGCAACAGCTTCCCACCATGCAGGAGCACGCTGCTGTTGTTGTTGACGGCAATGACATGAACGGGGTCGCATCACCGCCCATATCTCCACAGCACCGGCTGCTGCCAACACAGCCGCCGACACGGCTCAGCCAGGTGGGGGCGGGGGAGGTATTGTTGTGGGAGGAGCAGGAGGGGGATATTGTTGTGGGAGGAGGAGGGGAGGCGTAGGGCCGAATCAACGAGGTGACTGGAGATGGCGGTGGTGTGTGTTATGTATTTTGCTGATGTATCAAATTTTGTGAATGTTTTGTATGCGTTTGGCAGGATGCGCTGGCGCGATTGGACGCAGAGCAAGCCGGCAACACGTCGTAAGTCGCTGCTGCACCATCGCCAGAGTGATCGTGTTCGGCAAGACTACAGCGCCGATGAAACTCGTGCGCATGCCCAATGCGTACTCGCTCATGCCCAAGTTTCCATCATATTCACATTCATACGCACCACGCCATGCCTTACACTGCCGCTGCTTCTTGCATGCGTGGTCACCTGCAGGGCGTTGACTGCGCCGAGCGTGATCTCTGGAATGAGCGGGCTGACGGACGTGAGCCACGGCACGGGATGGGCCATCCCAGGCCGCAGACCCGTCGTCCTCGTCGAGACAACACACTCGTCAGTCAATCGTGTGTTTTGCGTGTGTGTGTATATGTGTGTGTATGTGTGTGTCTGTGTGTATATCTGTGTGTATATTTCTGTGTATGTATGTATGTATGTATGTATGTATGTATGTATGTATGTATGTATGTATGTATGTATGTATGTATGTATGTATGTATGTATGTATGTATGTATGTATGTATGTATGTATGTGTGTATGTATGTGTGTATGTATGTATGTATGTATGTATGTATGTGTGTATGTTGTGTGCGATGTGGGAGAACTCGGTGTGATGTCGCGATTACCCCCTTCTCCATCGCTTTTCACCCCCCCCCCCCATCACTTCCTTCCCTCCATTTCTTATTGACCTCTCATTTGTTTGTTGATGATGCTCTGCGTATGCATCAGGTATGGAACGCATTTGTCGGTGGAGAACGCCTCGGAAGTGCCCCCTCACATCGCCAGATGGAAGGGCAAGGTACAAGCAACACCACACAATCAACACCACATGTTGTCGCGTGCTGTATGGTGTCGGGTGACGTTGTGCGGTGTGATGAAATCTCAACTCACGTGTTGTTGTCTCGTGTCATGTGATGTGGCGCGGTGTTGCGTGGGGGTGCACGTGTGGTGCAATAATGTCTTGCCTCGGTTCCACCACGCGTGCTGGCTAACTGCTGCATCGATCTTCCCACATGCATCATTCCAGACGCGCCGGCTGTATGTGATGAACGGCCACGCGTTTACGGCGAGCAAAGTCACGTCGTCTTCTGAACGATGTGCTGTGAGCAACAACAAGCTCGCGCGTGCCCTCTCCCGCAAGTGCTATCGCTGCAAATGTGAGCGTAACGCTTCGTTGTGCTTGTATGCTTGTACGTGTACTTGTGTAAGTGTGGGTGAGTGTGTGTGTGCGTGATTGTGTGTGTGTGTGCGTGTCCTTATGTCCTCGTGTCCGGGTGTGTGGGCTGATCTGTGCTTATGGAAGTGCTTGTATGCTTGTGTGCATGCTGATGATGCAGACGCGTGAGCGTTTGTGTGTTTGTGCGTGTGCATTTGTGATCGTTCAAGCAAGCACACCACACACCATGTGTCGCTCGCGTGATTACTGTTTTCCATGTGCATTGGCCTTGAATACCACCACTGACTGCCCGGCTCACATCCTGTTGTTCGCTGCACTGTCATGCAGACTGTGGCATTGCCGTCGAGAAGACGCGCATCCCCGATGTGGAGGAGACGTGTGCGAGGAGCCAGCTCCCAGACATGACACTTGGAAGCTTCAGCCACGAGCGTATGCAGCACAGTGTGACTGGCAGTGTGGTGGAGCTTGCCCAGCCCAGCTCTCGCCCGCAGAGCACACCTGCAACGCCCCGATAACACACACTGCTTTGCTTTGCCCCCCCCCTTTTTTGGTTCGCTTTTTCTTGCTCTGTGCTTGCTCGGTTACATCAATGAACTTTTTTCTTCCTGTTGCTTTGTTGCGTTGTGTTGTTGTCGAGAGCGCGTGGATGGGTGTCGGGAATCATTCCGCTTGTGTGGTTGTTACGTTTGCATTACACAGTACGCCATTTGGTTGTGCGTGCGTGTAAACTCGGAGCGGGTGCATGCTGGCTGGCAGGACGTCATGTTCACCGTGCACATGAAATTTTGGTTACACCTGTCGCCTTGAATGCAAAACACACACACACACACACACACACACACACACACACACACACACACACACACACACACACACACGAATCACCACCGCTGCTAACATGTATGTCGGCAGGGTTTCTCCCTCCCCTCTTCACCCGTGCTTGCGCCGCAGGACGATGATAAAGTCGTGAAGAAGATAGAACGGCTTGTACATGTCGCCCTCGCACATGTACGGCGCACGCGCAATGGCCTGATGTTGGGAAAAGGCAAAGCGTGGTGGAACGCGTGCGGCTGGTCAATGATTGGCGTACGCACACACACACACATACACACACACACACACACACACACACACACACACACACACACACACACACACACACACACACACACACACACACCACAGTCTCACCGTGATTTCCATGCCGAGGGGCTGTGCAACAAAGTGGTGAAATGCGTTGATGTAATCCTCATAACATGCGCCAAACAGCTGCAGCTGTTCCCTTGGCCGCCTACCGCGTGGGCCTGTGTGTGTGTGTGTGCGTATGAGTATGTGTGTGTATGTGTGCGTGTGAATAATTGCGTGTGTGTATGTGCGCGTGAACGTAATTGTGTGTGGTATTTTTATGTGTGAGCGTGAACGCAAACATCGCCGACTCGTTGTGTCACCAGTAACACTCCATCGACTTCACCATCAACACGACTGAGCATGCCACGACAATTTTGCATGTCTGCACGCTCCCCCCCCCTCCGGAAATCACATACCACACAGCTCACCATGGTCATCGATGTACGGGGAATAGGGGAGAACAAGAGCGACGACGAGATGCCCGTTTGGCGTCAGCTTGTCTCGCATGTCTTGCAACAACGTCCACGGCAGCTCGCACCTGAGGAAGTGATATTTGAAGGGGGGGCGGTGATTGAGGTGGTGTTGAAGAGCATGTAACGTGAAGCACGAAGAAGTAATGCTTGCCAGCTGTTGGTTGTAGCCATGCCACATCACCAAGACCACGGCTACGACCACGACCACGACCACGACCACGACCACGACCACGACCACGACCACGACCACGACCACGGTTACAACCGTGACTCGTGGCGCGACTCGCCTGTCGAGGACGTTGAAGCAGGTGATGACATCGAAGCGGTATGGGGTATCCTTCCAAGTCTGTTCATCGTGGCACGTCCAATCTGGATACTGGGCCAGGCGCCACCGCATCATTCGGTTTGTTTCTGTCACATCAACTGTGTAATGTGCGTTTGTTTGCAGTGAGAGAGCGAAGGGGAGAGAGAGAGAGAGAGAGAGAGAGAGAGAGAGAGAGAGAGTGTGTGTGTGTGTGTGTGTGTGTGTGTGTGTGTGTGTGTGTGTGTGTGTGTGTGTGTGTGTGTGTGTGTGTGTGTGTGTGTGTGTGTCGCATTTCGTTTGTCAGTACCCGACTTCTACACACACACACACACACACACACACACACACACACACACACACTCCCCCCTACCGTGCTGGAATAAGGGGGCCAACTCTGCGGTGACGCCGCCGTCGCCCGCTCCGATATCAAGAAGGCGATCTAAGAGCACGGCAGCAGCAAAACACGCCACCATCGTCAGCGTTTCAGCAGCACCGACAATAGCACGCTTATGACATGACATGACGTTTAAAACAGAGCTACACCCATACCCTCTTACGCACTGCGGCCCACCGAGCTGTGTCGTTGGATCCAGGTCCAATAGCAATCGCAGCTGCTCCTTGGACAAGACATACATGCCACCTGTCCCCTCAAACCACAAGCGTGCGCCAGAATTGCTGAGTGCAACACCAGGCCGTGGCCGTTTTCGATCACAATGCCATCTTCCACTTATACACGCACACAGTACGAGCACGCACGCACACACACACACACACACGCACACACACACACACACACGCACACGCACACACACACACACAATACTCCTCTTACCTCGAAAGCAGAGCGCGTTTGTTGTGGTTGGGCTCATGAAGATGCGCAGGATGTGAAAGGAGAAAAGATCCACGAAGAACGGAAACAGCCGTGCGTGGCGCTCGTAACACTGCCTCAGGAAGGCCCGCAGTCCATCATCCACACTCAACTCCTTGAAACAGTGCCTGATGTCCTTCTTCAATCGATACGGATCCAGGCTGTAGTCATATCGAAAGTCCTTTTGTGTGATACACGGCATGTACATGTATGTGTATGTGTGTGCGTTTGTGCCTGTGAACACCAATCGAGGGGCACATACATGTACACACACACACACACAAGCATAAACATACCCGCGCGCACACACACACACTCACACACACACACATACGTACACGCATGCCAACTACACCTCTGCTGTTCGTCCATGTTGTGCTGTGTGTTGACTCGAAGCTGTAAGCAATCGCCGCCACAGACGCCTGGTTGTAGGACGTATTGAAACAAGCAAAACGGCTGCGGTGAGCATCGAGCACACTTCACAGCAAATCCCTCAAACACATCCTGCGCACACAACACAACACACACAGCACAGCACAGCACAGCACAGCACAACACAGCACAGCACAGCACAGCACAGCACAGCACACACACACACACTGCACACACGCGCGCGCACCGTCGCACGAAAGGGAACGGCTGCTCCTGCTGCTGATCCTGCTGCTGCAGGCGACGACACTCATCACAGTCCGCCATCGTGCTGAAAATTCTCAAACTTGCCCACCACTTTTCACAACTTGAGACGCTGTCGTTCTGCTGGTGTTGACACACCAATCCCTCCCTCTCCTTCCATCCATCCAGCCGTCCTTCCACCTCGTCCAACGTTCCCAACTTCACCCCGTCCTAAGTCTCTCGCGCCCCGTAGTCCAAAGGCACCGCTGTCCTTTCTCCCAACACACAAGCACACACACAAGCACACGCGTGGCATGTCCAGCGAAGCGCTGTTCCTGGCGTTCCTGGGTGTTGTGACGTGGATTTTGCTGCGGGCCACAAGCAACGAGCCGCGTCGCGCAGATGTCGACGTCAGCAAGTATGCGCAGTGGACGCCGAAGGACACCGGCGTTTACCTGCGCGAGCAAGGGTACACGGACGAGCACATCGCGGCATTCGTAAGGGCCATGAAGAAGCACAGCTTGCGGGGAAACATTTTGCCCAGCTTAACAGAAGCAGACCTGCAGCATCAGCTGGAGATCGACAACGCGCTGACGAGGAAGCAGATGGTGGCGGACTTCCAGCTGCTTCCTGCAGCAGCACACGCGCAGCGAGCCCAGGACAGCCCGCGCCGATCCCACGCAGACCCGTACCAAAAGGACCTGAAGCCCAACGGGACGTCAATCATTGGCGGCCTGTTCAGCTTCATTGGGAGCATCATCTTCTCAGTGTTTTGGGTGGTTTTGCATGGAGGCTTGTTGCTGTTCCTGCTGCTGTTGTTTGGGCGCCTGAAGCAGAACAGCAACCAGCTCAAGCCCCTGTCCGAAGCGCTGGACTTTGGGCGTTTTGGCTGGCCATCGCATGCAGAGGAGCGCATGAATTACAACCTGCAGTATTTTGCTCCCAACTACGTGCTGTCCCTCATCATGGCGACGGTGCTCAGCCTCCTCACCATCGTCAGCCCAGCCAAGATTGGTGTCGTCCTCACCCTGTGCACCTTGCACATGTTCCTCCGCAAGCGACCTCCAGCAGCTGTGCTTCAGGGCATGTCTGTCTGGAACCTCCTTTTCAACCGCCGCCGCCACAACTGAGAAGCAGATGTGCGTGAGGGGAGGCGGCAGTGTAGCGTCAGTGTGTGCATGTTACGTGTGTTTGTGTGTGTGTGTGTGTGTGCATGTTACGTGTGTTTGTGTGTGCATGTTACGTGTGTTTGTGTGCAGTGTCAGTGTTTGTGTGTGTGTGTATGTAGACATGTGTGTGCGTGTACATGTGTGCTTGTGTGCATGCAATCATGTGTGTGTGTGTGTCCTTTTATGCAAGTGCATGCTTGCATGCATCTCGCATGCATCAATGCGCAGTTTGTACCGGTGTGGGCAAGTGCTGTGGACACTTGCTTCTTGCTTGCTTGCCTTTGCTTGCTTTCACCCGCGTTCCTGCTCCTCTCCAACAATTTACTATGTTACAGCTACCTTTTCCTTTTCCTTCCCTTTCACTGTCCTGTGCTTGTTTGCTGTTGTTCTAATGAATGAAATACACCAACCATCCAACGTGCATGCATCCAAGCACTTGAACATGTAACTGAGAAATTCTGCCTGTTCTCACCACAAACAAACCTCTCTCACGCATATGTACATGAACGGAACTCGCAGCCACCCTCTCCCTCCTCACTTCACTCGCAATACAGCCACACACAGGCACGCAGTCACACGCCCCGATCCCAGCTCCACATCATACATCATGTGCACCGTCATGGGAAGGCCGACGCCGGCGAGTCGGCACGCGATGGTGGTTGTGATGATGATACTGCACCCGCCTCTGCGCGTCTTGCCTCTGCGCGTCTTGCCTCTGCACGTCTTGCCTCTGCGCGTCTTGCCTCTGCGCGTCTTGCCTCTGCGCGTCTTGCCTCTGCGCGTCTTGCCTCTGGGGGACTTGTGGCTGCGTGTCTTCCATCTGCCATTGCGTCTCTCTCCGCTTCACCTCGTGCCTGTCCTGTGTGCCTTCCATTTCCCATTGCGTCTCTCTCCGCTGCGTCTCCTTTCGCTCTAACAAACGGTCCCCTTGCTCGTGTCTGGCGTGACCGCCATCACCACCATGGCCACCACCCATGCCATGTATTTGCTGTGCAGGCGGTTCTTCGACGAGCGCGCCACCATACGGCTGTTGCTGTTGCTGTTGTTGCTGGGAGCTGCGGCGGCGGTGGCGTTGGCGAATCGTTTGCTGCGTGTGCAGCGGCACGGGGTGCTCGGTGTACTTCTTGAACACGTTCCATGACCGTGTGGGGTAGAACTGCCCCTCCGCCTCAAGCTCCGTCTGAAACGACGTCTCGGAGCCCTTGCGCGACGCACGGTCGCCAAACACGTACTCCCGCCCCTGCTCGGCTGACTCCTCGTCCAGTAGGGTGAAGCTGTGGCGATTGAAGGGGTTGCGTGAGCCACGACGCTGAGAACGCAGCCGCGTTGGATACTCGGCCTCGTCTCCATCACCACCTTCATCTGCCGGCTGTGGCGCCTCGCTTGCACGCCGCTCTCGCTTGTGCCACGGCACTGCTTCCTCCACAGGCGGCAGCTGCACGGGTCTCCGGACCTGGGGCTCGTGCTCCGGTGTCAGCAGGTCCAAGTCCGCAAAGCGCATGCGGCCGCTCGCATCCACTTCGCCAGCGACATACACCCCGTTGTTGTCAGATGGCGCTGCGCCTCCACCGCCGTACGCCAGGCGACTTGGGCACTTCTGTTTCGGCGCCTTCTTCCCTTGCGTCGATCGTCCAAATGCGGTTTCGCTGTCGCTGTCGCTGCCCTTCTTCGACACAAGCACGAGCTCGTCCGCGTCCAGCTCCTGGCGCACACGCCGCCGGCAGCAGCAGCAGCAGAACAGCAGCACCCCGCCAGCCACGCCCGCAACAATGTACCACAGCGGGTCCAGTGGCGTCGTGTCGCTCGCAATGTTGAGGTTGAGAAAGTCGCTGATCGCTGCTGGCAAGTCCGCATGTGCCGGGTCCTCACGGTACTCCCCGCCCTCGCTCCTTGGAATCACCAGCAAGCCCAGGCTGATGTCTGCCTGCGCCTCAAACTGATACGAGAGCACGTCCACGGGCAGCACCACAACTGCGTCGCCAATCGGCGTCACGCCGTCCCGGGTGAAGTAGATGGCCCACTCCTCCGTGTTCTCATCGCCGGAATCGCGCCAGGTCAGCTCCCCGCGCACCGTGTTGGCGGCCTCATCGTAGCTCACCAGCGTCAGGTTGGCCTCCGGACACGGCAGCGACGGCGGAGGATACACGCACGTGGACGCCGAGCCGGGCGGGTGCACGAAGAAGCCAGGGCACTGCGGCACCGTTGCACACTGGCCGTCGCTTCGCACCGTCTCCAGGCCGTCAGTGTCACAGGTCGTTTGCAACGAGCAGCCGCGCTGCTGCGTCAGCACCGTGTCCACGGGACAGGACACCACGCTCCGGTCTGGCGAGTAGCACAGGCGGTCCTCCGTGTCAAACACATGCGCCGTGTTGAGACACGTGGGCTCATCTGGCAGACAACTGCGCGTCGCATTCACTTGCACGTCGTGTCCCGTGCTTGGGCAGATGCTCGGTGCTCCCACGCAAGGCACGTCCACAGGCACAGACAGCACCGGCACGCTCACCAGCATACCGTCGTTGCGTGATAGCGCCGTCTCCGTCTCGCTCGAAACCAGCATGACGTCCGTAAACTCCTGCACAGGCATCCCGCGCTCACACCCCGTCACCCGCTGGGTGTTGAAGGACACGCGCACGGGACTGTCAGGGCTGAACACGCGCGAGAGTGGGCCATAGTCCGAGTACACCTGCGCCACGTCAAACGTGAACGGCGCGCTGGGGTCCAGGCTGTTGGCATTGTCAACGCCAGTCACCTCATACACTTGCACCCGCCCCGTCTCCACGTCCTCAAGGCGCAAGTACACCGCAAACGCATCATCCCCGCTGCTGTCGTCCTTGGTCGTGAGGACGTTGCTGCGGTCCAGCACCTCAAGCGCGTGTTCTGCAAACTGCTGCAACTGCGTGCCAACGGCGCTGCCATCCGCCTGTGTGGGAGAAATCTCCACACGCTGTACGTCTTCCACGCGATCGCCGCCGAGCAGCCGCAGGTAGCCCGAGTCCACCGCATCGCCAGCCGTCGACGTGGTCGTGTTGTCAAACAGCCAGTCGGTCGTCCACACGTCCCGCAGGACACCGGAGCGCTGGCCATGCACAAACTGCTCCCCCTTTGTGCTGCGTGCAGGCACGACAGTGGCGAGGGACCAGTCGCCAGGCGGCAGCGCACCAGACAGGGTGATGTTGCGGGCGGACGCGTCAACCACCGCCAGCTCATAGTCCAAGATGTCGGCCAGATTATCGCTTGTCGGTGGCCACGGCTCCTCGCCAGACGCCGGCGATGACGAAGGGGATGTGCTGGGAAGATTGCCCAAGTACACGACGAACGTGTCCACGCGTGCATCGCTTACGCTCTCCCACGACAGCACGAGGTCCACAAAACCGAGGCGTGCGTCTTCGTCCAAGGACAAGCGCACCTCCGACACAAATGGAGGCACATCCACACACTGCACTGGCCACGCAACGACGTCCCCTGCGTCCTGTTCGCCTTGTTCTTCTGTTTCTGTTTGTGTTTCGGCGCTCAAGGCACCAACAAGCGTCTCAAAGCCAAGGCAGCCAAAACCAGCTTCAAGGGCAGCTGCATCGGAAGCCGTTGTGCTGCTGGTGGGCGTCGTTGCTAGATCCGTGCTTGCAGGCACACAAACGCCAGCAATGAAGGTGGTACCGGAAGCGCATGCGAGGCCATCATCAAGGTAAGGCACGACGCAGGGCCGCACATTGCCTTCCTCGGCTGGTGAGACGCAGTTGATGGCACCATCACCAAGCACAACATCCACGATGGTTCCCTCGTCAAATAAGTCGTCCACTTCCAAGTCAACGACCAGCACGTGCACGGCATCAAGCACCCACACATCCGCTGTGCTGCTGTTCACCCCCATCAGAGCGTACACCATTGCCAGGCCGTCTTCGTTGCGCACAATCACATGTGGCCACGCCGTGGTGGCTGAGCCTGCACTGTCCATCGTGCTGCTGTTGTTGTTGTTGCTGCTGCTGCCGCCGCCGCTAACATCATGTGCGCTCATTGCTGTCGATGATGATGATGATGATGATGATGATGATGATGATGATGATGATGATGATGATGATGATGATGATGATGATGATGATGATGATGATGATGCTTCTTCCGGCGTGCCTGTGTTGTACAGGTTCGCCAGAGGCCCAATCACCAATTCTGCAATGGTACCCGCACCGCCTGTGTACGCTGTTTCGTTGGCACGACCTGCGAGCAGGGCACTGACGGCTGCCGCTCGCTGTTCAATTGCCGCAAGCGCCGCCACGATGGAGACGCCAAGACCATCCACGGTGCTGATGGCGAGCTGCGTCACGCTGTCCACCGTGTTGTTGTTGACGTGCACAAAGCCGCCTCGCGACACATTCACTTGCGCAAAGGTGTAGCGCCAGCGCTGGCGGATGGCCAGGCCCTGGTCCACAATCGGCACCTCTGCTGCGACTTGTCGCGCTGGCGCCCAGTCCTTGGCCATCACCGGCACGGCCTGCAGTGCAACGCCATCTCCAAGCACCGTGTCGAGTGGCACCGGCAGGCTCACCCGGGCAGTGGTGGCGCTGTCCATAAAGTCGCCCAGTGACAGCGACATCACCCCAAGCACGCGATCGTTCGCAACAGAGGAAGGGGCGACCTCACTGCTGACGTTCCCAGCAGCCATGCGCGCAGCGCGGTTTAGCGCTGCCGTGTACTCGCTGGCATTGAGCACACGCACCTCAATGCCTTGCACCTGAGCCACGAGCGCAGCAGGGTCGGTGGTCGTCACAAACACGGTCACCGCACCCCCAATCTCGCCGTAATCGGCATCGTAGTCGCGGAACGCCGCCAGAGACACATCCAGCGACAGTGGCGTGCACCCGCCGCCCAGCTCTTGCTCCTGCCCATCGCCAGGGCACGCGCGCTGCGCAAGGCAGGTCTGCGACACGTTGTACAGGTTGCCGAACGGCAAGCACAGCCCAAACGGTCCTGTCAGCACCCCTGTGGCACCATCACTTGCGTCACCGCCACCGACACTGCTGCCACGACCAAGACCAACGCTGGCCCCACCCAAACTCAGCGCATCCAGGACGGACGTGCCGCTCACGGCGCTGCGGAGCGATGACGGCGACGATGCTGCTGCCGCATGGGCACTGCGCACCAGCTGGCCCCCCTCTGGCCCAAGCACGAAGCGGCCTTGGCCAGCGTTCAGCTCTGCATATGTCCCCAACACAATGTCTCCGTCCGCTTGATGCACCATGTCACCGGCGTCAGCACCAGCATTCGCACTGCCAAACGCCAGAAGTGACGGTGCCTGCAGGGTTGCCAAGTCATCGGCGAGCGCCATGTCGTGGTGTGGACCGACGCAACCCACGCCGGCCACCCTGGTCGGAAAGTGGGGAGGGCAGGCGTTTACGTCCGCACGGCTGCTGTTGCTGCCATGGCCAAAGACAAACTCCAGTCCAACACGTTCGTGAGCTTGCAGCATGAACGCGATGGCGCCATCGTACACGCTGAGCGGCAGCAGGTCAAACACAACCTGGTTGTCACCCGTTGCAAGCAACGACGCAATCACGAATGCCACCTGCTGTCCGGTACGATAGCCTGTGAACCGCACCAGCGGCAGTGTTACAGGCTCAGAACCACCGCTGCTCAGCTGCGCCTGGGTGGCAAGGAATTCAAGCAGGCCACTCGCATCCAAGCCACTGGCAGTGGTTTTGGAAATCACGAGGCGCTCCACGTCTGCCATGCTGCTGTTCTCGAAGCGGAGGTATCCATTCGCCAGCACTTCGTCTGCTGCGGCTGTGGTTGCGTTCGAAGCGGCGACTGTGCTGTCAAAGCGCCACACGCCATGTGACCTGTCGGCTGGAGAAGTGGCGTTGGCATCCGGCACACGCACGCGAGCCGCGCCCAACCAATCGGCGCCTGTGCCAACGCGACTAGGCACCACGGTGAACCACGCGCCGTCTACAACACGCACGCCTGTGCGAATCTCAAACACGCCTGTGGTGGCGGTGCTGTTGCTCACAGCAATGGGCCACACCCCGCCATCATTGTCCTCCAGGTACAGCGTGTACCCAGCGCCATATGCTTCAACTGCGTCCAGCAGGTCCCCCACGTCCTTTCGCCCTAGCAGGCTGTCAAATGACCACGTGACACGGCCCTGGTAATAGCCGATGCGGCCATCCTGGTCTGCCTGTGCAGTCACACTCAATGCCAAGGAGGCATGAATGTCCGTCTCCATGTCGCTCTGCTCCTGGCTGATGCACGCCACACCGTGAATGTGCTTGTCTCGCACCGCAAGGTGGGCCCAGCACCCAGTTGCCGGCACATCACAGAGGCCATCTGCGTTCGGGAGCGCGCCGGTAAGCGCACACACGCCCGTGCTCGTGTCTGCAGGCTCTGCACAGCTTCCAAGGAACTGCTGTTGCTGCTGCTCTGAAAATTGGCTGCGGTCACACGCAAGCGGCTGCGCAACACTAAAGGTGATGTTGATGGGCTCGCCGTCTGCTAACCAGTCTGTCACCACTAGAACGGTGGAGTCAACGGTGCCTGCGCTCGCGCTCACCGAAACCAGGCTCGCTTCAAACGTCACCTGCGACGCTGTGGCGTTTAGCACGTCGTGCAGCTCAAGAGGCAAGAGCTCTTGTTCCGCGTTGCGAACCAGCAAATACAGGGGTGCGATAGATGATGCCACGCTGTCGTTGTCGCCAAGGCCACTGGTGTCCACAAGCTGTCGACGCCTCTGCAGTTCCGTCACAACAGCGCTGAGGTCCGGCAGCGCGTCTCCGTTGGTGACATCCACGGCGGCAACAGCCACGCGCACGGGCCCGTTGGCTGGTGAGATCGTGTGCTCATCCAGGCGCAAGACGCCAGCAGGAACGCCTTCAAGACCAATGTTTGCGTCAAAGGTCCATGGTGCTTCGTGACCGGCGCCACTGCCAGGCGTTGGCATACTTTCGCCGTGGTCAACAAACGGCACGCCCGCCACGCTGTCGAGCAAGCGCCACTGCTGGTCGCTGCCAAGCGCTGCTGGCGCCTGGGGGTGAGCATCGCTCACCAGTGGCACGAGCACAAAGTGTGTGTGCAGAGCGGCTGGCCCAGTCAGTGTGACTTGAGCACTGCGTGCGTCCGCAGACAGCACAGCCACCAACGTTCCCTGTGCCGCTGGCAGTGGCGATGGATCGCTTGCATCTGCCGTCGAGAACACCACCAAGGACGGCAGCAGCACGTCAAGAAGAGAAGATCGTTCGCCACCAACACCATCACCATCACCATCACCAACGGCATAACTGCTGTCACTCGTGAGGTCGTGTCCGATGGTGACGGCCCAGAGCTCATACCCCACAACGCCATCGAGTGGGCCTGCGACGCTAAAGGACAGCAGGCCATCCACGGCCTGAAATGTGTTGTTCCTGTCGGAGAATGCGTTGAGGTCGAGTTCCAAGGTCGGTAGCACACAGGCGCCGGTGCTGTTTCGAACCAAAATGCCGGGACACACGGGTCCAGTCACACATACGCCCTCCTGAGCAAGGACTTGCTCATCGCAAGGGCAGCTGGGTAGCCTCGGTGCACTTGCGCCAAACCAGGCCACGTCAAAGCTCTCCCCTGCAGACACCAGCCCTTGTGCTGCAATGGGAAGCCCAAATACTCGCCCGTCATCAGCAACGCAGCACAGCCGCTCTTGGTTTCCGCTCCCAAACTGACACAGGCTGCCCAAGTCAACTGCGGATGCCGGCGTTGCAACCGGTGTCGTGCCATTGTTGTTGTTGCTGTTGCTGTTGTCGCTGCCGCCGCTGGCTTCATTGTCACTGCTGATGTCTGCGAGTGCGGATGGCCAGTCACCAAACAGCGTCCACACAGATGTGTCCTCCAGAACAGATGACGGTGATGTCGTGCTGCCACTGTCACTGCTTCCATCGTCACCGTCGGACGTTTGCAGCGGTGGCGAAACAATGAGCTGCGGTACTGCTATGCAGGCCAGGTCGGGCGATTGCACAAACCCAGGCGGACATCCCAGCGTCAGGTCCCCCGTGCCGAAGATGAGAGCAAGTGGATCACCATTGGAGAGCACGGTGCCAACGGAGTGGTCCGGTGCACCGATGGGAGTCACAGCAAACACCATGCCTGGCGTGGAGCTGTTGCCCTCCATCACAGCGTCAACTGCAAACAGCAGGCGCTCATCATCTGCTGTGGTCAGCAGCAAGCGAACTTGCGTGGAGAGCAGACGAGCATCACCTGTTGCCGCTGCCGTGACATTGGCCGCAACAGCAGCGAGAAGGGTGCGTGCACTCTCGCCAAGACCATCCACGTTGGCAATAGTGACAAGAGACACGTCTGCCACGCTATTCGCCGCATCGAAGGACACCGTTCCGTTGTGTGCCTGCGCTCCGTTCGCGTCCGTGTCGTTGCTGAAGATCCAGCGCGAGTGCGCGAGGACGCTGGTACTGCCGCCCTCAACAATATGGGCAATGAGGTCTTCAAGGTCACCCAGGCCCGGCGCACCGGTGGAGAGCAGTGTGGACGGGCGCGGGCCGAGCGAGGCGGCGTCTGGGATGGTGGCGTTCTCGAAGCCAGGCGCAAGGAACGGCATGCCAACAAGGTTGATTGGGAAGACAAACACCCGCGATCGGGTGAGGTTGGGCATGGCAACGGTGCCGTCTGCGAGCAAGCTCCCTTGTGTGAGGGTGACGTTGATGTTGGTGACGGGGTGGTCAACCACAGCCACGGGCGCCATGACTGCCAGCAGTGGCGCGCCGTTTTCGTCGATGCTGGGAAGGTGGCCATGACCAGCCGATGCGACGTCGCCGGCAAACACCGCGTAATGGCGGATGTAGCGCGTGTCTGTGGGCGCGTCCCAGGACACGAGGCCTTCGTACACGCCCGCGTACTCGCTGCGGTCTGGCGTGGACAGCGTGATGTTGGCGACATGCGCCAGCGGGCGATGCAGAATGCACAGCGCGCTGGCACCACTCGCAGCTGTCCCGCTACTGGCATCGTTGGACCCGCTCGCAGCCACACGCTCCGTCCCCGCTACGCAGACATCATGGTGGATGCAGCTGGGGCTGAGCCGTGCATCGGAGAGGCAGGCCTGCGTTGGAACCAGGCAGGATGGCTGTGTCCGATGGGTCCAGCCATAGATGCTCGGTTCGTCCAACCGGCAGTGCAGGTGCGATACAGGCTGCACCGTGAGCAGCACGTTCTCCCCCAAGGAAAGGGAAGAGGGCGACGATGAAGATTGCAATGGAGGCAACAGGTCTGCACTTGCAGCTGGGGATTCATGCACTGGCACAACATCGAACGCATAGGCCACGGGTGCTGATGTGTCAGAGCCGTTGAAAAGCGGAGTGACACCCTGAACAAGAAGAGCCGCCACCTGACCCTCTTCATCATGCAGGCCAAGGTACACGGCGCGTGGTTGGCCCGTTGCTGGGTTCACGGCCGCGGTGAGGAAGGGGTCCGCATCTGAAGGTGACGCTGCCTGCTCAATCCGCGCCACCAGCGGTTGCAGCTGCGCAGTGATGTTGTTGCCCTGCGCGCTGGTGGTGCTGAGCACCACAGTCGATGCATCCCGCACAAAGGTTGCATCGAGCGTGACTGTGCCAGGCCCAGCCAGGTCACCGTCCGTTGCATCCAGTGGCGAGCCGTGCTCGCCTCCCACCCAGGGGCCAACCACATCGATGATGGGAAACGCCGCTGCAAACTCCGTGTAGTTGCGAGACGACGTTGCGGGCACAACCACCCAGTATGCCGCGTCTGGCGACGCAAGCCCGGTACTGCTGAGCGAGAATGTGGGATCGAGGGGGGAGACCTGGCCAATGTACTGCCAGGTAGCCGGTGGATCACCGGAGCTGTGAAGCGTGGGCGGGGCTTCGGCAGCGAAGAGGGTGAAGGAGATGGCAAACCCTGGCTCATCACGCACAGTAATGTCAGCGGTGATCACGCCCAGTGCCGGGTCTACGTCCCTCGTGACCACAATGGAGGTGAGCTGGCGGGTGAGCACTGGCGGCGCACACTCGCCGTCGGGGTCAGAACTTGGGCGCTCATAAAACGCCGGACACACTGGTTGCACGATGCACTCCTTGGTGAATGCCGCGTTCACGGCTGGCTCGTCCTCAAAGTAGTACGGTGGCGAGGATGCAGAAGGGTGTGCGGACGACGCCAAGCACGCGTCCCGAACACAGGGCCCAAACGCGGGATCGGTGCCGGTTGTGAACGCGTTTTGTGCGCCAGACACCAGCAGCAGTGTGCGTGAGGCGTTGGCGGGGCACGGCAGTGCCGCGGTTTCGCTGAAATGGAACACAACAGGGTCGTCCTGCTCAAAGTTGAGGTGCACTGGCCCAACAAAGGCATCCACAGGCTGTGCGTCAAAGGTGAACGTGCCCGTATCCAGGCCGGCCTCTGCTGCCCCCGAAAGCTCAAGCACCACGGGTCCAGCAACCTGGTTCAGGATGGACACCCGCAGTGATGCTCCGTTGCTGACGTGCTCAGCGACGCCGACGAGGAAGGCGGTGATGTTGAGTCCCGAGTGATCAAGCGCGCTGATGGTGACGGCGGTGACTTGGTCCATCAAGTTGCTGTCAAATGCCACGTACCCTGCTGGGATTGCTGCAGCTGGTGCAGCAAAGCTGGTGTTGACGTGGAAGAGCCATCCCTCCGGTGTTGTTGCGCAGGGCTGGACGTCGCAGGTGGAGATGCTGAGGTACGTGGTGGCGTTGGCATTGGGCTGGCTGAAGTTTCCGCCGTCATTGGTGACGGTGACGTTGACCAGGCCGGGAAACGGCACGTCGGGCGCAGCGCACTGCACGTGCGCGGTGCTGATGAAAGAGGCCGTTGTGGCAACACCGCCAATGTTGCAGGCCAGCACATCTGTGGCAGCAAAGTCCTCACCCCACACGTCAATGACCTGTGGGTTTTCTGAGAGCGGCACCTGTGTTGGTGTGACAAGGGTCACTGTTGGCGGGCGGTTGTCGCAGGCTGCGGAGAAGAACCCTTCAAAGCACTCGCACTCGCCCGTGTGCGGGTTGCAAACGCCGTTGCCGGTGCACTTCCCTGCCGGGCAGTAGAACGCGCACTGCTCGTCTCCGCTGCCAACATAGTCGTCGTCACACGCGCATGTCTTGGTCGCATAGTCGCACGCTCCGTGACCGTGGCAGAAGCTGTCGTTTGTGCAGAAGAATTGGCACAGCGAGCCCACCGTATTTGTGCCCATGGCACAGTCACACTCCCCAGTCAACTCGTTGCACGTGGCGCCATTCTAGAGAGTACATGCGTTGTTGGGGACCGGGGATTCATTTGTGTGTGTGTGTGTGTGTGTGTGTGTGTGTGTGTGTGTGTGTATGTGTGTGTGTGTGTGTGTGTGTGTGTGTGTGTGTGTGTGGTTGTGTGTGTGTGTGTGTGTGTGTGTGTGTGTGGATGTGTGTGTGTGTGTATGTGTGTGTATGTGTGTGGATGTGTGTAGACACGTGTGAGGTGCGTGTACAGGAGTGGCCTTGAAATGACAAATCGCAAGCGCAGGTCCAATCAGCAGGCAAACGCAGCGACGGATGTACTCACCTCGCACATGCAGTCGCTACAAGTTGGGCCACCAAAGTTTCCTGGGCATTGACACGCGGCCTCGCCCGTGTCTGGATCGCATTCACACTGGCCGCCATTCTCACACGTGCCGACACATTCCTTTGCAACGCACGTTCCGGAACCTCCATCCACTTCTGCACAGGCGTCGCACGTGCACGTGCCGTCCTCAACATTGCACGTGCCAAGCCCTCCACACACCTAGTAATTACATAGCCATGGACACACGCACACGTGAGTTGCAGCAAGAAAGTTGTTGAAGGCATGATGAGAGGAAATGGGCTACGTTGTGCTGACGGCGCGTGTGGTGGTAAGTGTGGGTGGCGAGGCAACAAGGTGGAAGGTAGCACACTAGTGGGTGTGCACTGGCGTACAAACAAACATACAATGCGTGCGCAACAGCATCCTTCACACATCTTGTTATTCTGTTATTCGAGCACGAGCAACTCACTTCACCGGTGCCGTCTTGGCCGATTCCGGGGCAGGGTTCACTGCACGTTGGTCCCCACCAACCATCTGCACATGCACAGGGCGATCCAGCAACCGAACGGCCTGTGCGTGCGCGCGCGCGCGCGCGTGTGTGTGTGGGTGGGTGGGTGGGTGGGTGGGCGTGTAAGCCAGTGCAAGGGGACTCGTTGACTTGTGTATGCGTGAACGGCGTGGAGGCGGGAAAGCGTCTTCAACACAACAGTGAAGCAAGGTAAGAGGGAACTGCGTCCCACTAATTTGTGCATTAACTGACCGTTGGAGGTCTTGGTGGCATCCGTTGCAGTGCAGGTATCGTTGATGGCAACGCCGCACACGACCGTGCAGCCGTTTTCCAGCAGCCCAAGGTAGCACACGTCAAGGTCGTCGGGTCCAGTCTCCTGATGGATCATGGTGAAGAAAGGCAGGGGCAGAAGAATGTTGTCAACGTGTGCAGTCGTGTTATGTTAACGTGTTCAATCACATCACAGCAGCATGTCATGTCAAACATGACGCGTACAATGTGTGGGGGCGGTCGTCAAGACGCCAATGCAAGTGTATGGCACGTCTCTCTGCACGTTCTGCCGCTGCGGGACTGCCATTGCCATCTCCCTGTTGTCTCTCAAAATACACACTATACCTGGCAGGGGCAGCCTTGCTGAGAGCAGTCCGAGCCGGCAAAGCCGCAGTCACAAAAGCAGGTGCCTGTGGAGGTGTCGCAGGTGCCATTGCCGTTGCAAGGATTGCTCGCGCCTCCGGGGCACTGCAAGAAGGAGAAGCAAGAAGGGAAAGAAAACCAAGCAGATTCACATTCGCATGGGGGGGGGGAGAGATTAAGCATTGACAGTTAATTGACATTAGGGCATTTAATGCAAGACAATAGGTTGGCCAAGATGGTGGCTCGTTATCGCCGCGACTCGTTGCGTCGCTTAGCAAGCGGACAAGCACTGTGATTGAACCAGAGCCACAGCTTAGAAAGAAGCAGGCTGAAAGTGACGCAAATCACGTGGTGGCATGCTGACCTCGGAGCTGCAGTCGTCTCCCCAGTAGCCGTACTCGCAAGTACATTCATTGGTGTATCCAAAGTCAGCGGTGCCATGGCCACTGCACCACGCTTCCACAGGCCTGCAGCCAAGACAACAAGTGAAACAGTGTCACACACACACACACACATTGAGAGACAGAGGCAGTGGGAAGAAGAGCGAGAGAGAGAGAGACGTATGCAAATACGATCGTGAGCTTGAATGTCAGGAATCAGGCACTTGACACGGCTGTCGCGAAAAATCAAAAGTGATGTTGTGACGCACGTGTTGGTCGCGGCAGCAACGATGACTGTTTCGTTTGGGGTGCCGAGCACTGGGCCCAGAGGTGTGTCGCAAGTAGCAAGCACAGCATCGTGGTAGATGCTTGACCACTGAGCATTCTCACACAGGCCATCATCGCGTGTTCCTGTTGATGAGAGGAGGAAAAACGGGGTGAAGAGGAGGATTGACACGATGGCAGAACATGCGTGGATGGTTAATGGAGCGGTTACAAAACAAAAGTAGGGCTGATGAGCTCGAGTGCTGGCGGGATAAGAACACACAGGCATGGTCGAACAGTGCACTGGTGTTCTCAAAGTATGCATGCGCGCACGTGAGTGTGTGTGTGTGTGTGTTCGTGTGTGTGTGTGTGTTCGTGTGTGTGTGTGTGTGTGTGTGTGTGTGTGTGTGTGTGTGTGTAAGTGTACGTGTTCGTGAGTGTCAGTGTAACTGTGAGCCAACGGGTACAACGCACCGCTGAGGCAGGCGCCGTGATCGAAGCTCCAGCCGCAGCCGGGCTCTTGCGTGCATGCAAAGCAGTTGTCAAAGACGGAGCAGTGCGGGCAGCACTCTGAGGTCCCCGTGAACTCACTGGCACACGTACTCTGAAGGTAGACATGAACACGACAAAGGCGGGCAGAAATGATTCGGGGGAGGGGTGTGAGAACTGGACGCGTGATGGCGCATGCTCAACGTGGTTGTGTGCGCGCATATTGCATGGTGCTACACCCCCCCCCCCACACACACACACACGCACACACACACACACACATGCCATCGCACACACACACACACACACACACACACACA